CCCCAAAACCCCAAAACCCCAAAACCCCAAAACCCCAAAACCCCTTTTTTAGATTATTTTATTGAATTATTAGTATTCAGAGCTATAATATAACTGATTTGTTAGTAATTTTCCTGCATGGGGAGCATCATAAACTTTAAAATATCCTAAAATGCCCAAAACAATGCCAAATCAAGACTCCATTTTGAAATTTAAAATTTGGAAGGCGTGCAAATATTTCATAATTCATAACAAATCCTAACGGATTTCTAGAATAGGAGAAATATAAGTCTAAACAGTTTTAGAAAATATATACAGAAGTTAATGCCAAGACAAGGTATGATAAGACTTACCCTCCAAGCTAGAGACTTAAAGAAATGATTCTGCAGGGCAAGCCTCTTGTGCAGGTTGTGAAAAGTAATCTTTCCAACGGCCACAGTATCCTAAAAGGGAATGTCTTTCCATGCAAGTGTCTGTTATAATTGAAGCAAAGTTTTTAAACTTACATTTATAAGTATATATAAAGTCATCTTATGATAATCAAACTTTATGAGCAACTGGATCCTCTTAATCCACTCATATTGTTCATAACGGAACTGCTATAAATCTCCAAAAAGGCTGATTGATTCGAGCATACTAGTTTTTCAAAGTCTCAGTAAAATTCATGAATATTAAATTTTCCTTGAGGGAAGAAGGTGATTTGTCTTATAAAATCACTCTCAAGGTTTATTTCATTGGAAATCATTTTCAACGGCTCCGCTTAGGAACAAATTTGATAAGGATTCTCAGTACATACCTTTGATGGTCGTCTAGCATAAAATTCTAAGAGGTCAGAAAACCCTTCTCTTTCTTTATAAAGTTCTGGGTGGCTTCTTCATAGGTATTTAACAATTTCTGGATAATAGCTAAGACTCAAATAAAATATTTTTGCACTTCTACCAATTGATTAAAAATAAGCCCTCGTGAGATTCCCAGTTAACGAGCATATAATTTAGCATAGGAAATGATTTCAAATGAATTTTCTATAAATCATGGCCATGAGGTGAAGAAGTTCTGGCCAAAAATACGAACTGCATTATTTCATCAAAACTGACTGTGCTAATAAACCCTTCTATTCCACTATCTTCAACACTCTCTTTTTGGAGTAGCAAGTTAAGTCTCTGCCAAATTATAATGAACTTAGAGATCATTATTAATAATAGCAAGAATGTAAACCAGTTTATTGCTACATGGTCCCTGAGGCTAACTTTCATATTTTTGCCATTTAAATTCATTGCACTAATTTTAGACCTTATCTTGACCCTAAGCCTTAAACTAATACCTGGGGACACCCTAGAGGGAGCTCTGGGGGTTAGCTATAAATGGAATAAAATTCATAATCCCTTCAAAGTGAGTCAGCTGATCCTTCAACTAGAGTACACCAAAGCTTCAAAAGAACGTTGGTGGTCCTAATTGGAGCAATAAAACTTTAGTACAATATTTTCCCTTTGTCTCACCTACTCTTTCAACTAGTCTAGGTATAGAGGGTAAAATCCCTTGTTGGTCTTATCAAGTAAACCATCAAATTTAATAATGATTCATAAAATTGGCATATAAAAAGACGGTAATTGGATTATATGCAGGAGACTTTAGATGGTCTCACCCACTCACTAAGCTTTTTACAACTATGGAACAATGATTTGTAGAAATCGTGAACTATAATAGAGCGCATTAAACTCTGTGCAAAGACAACTAAACCTGAAACGAAGAGGGAAATGCAAAATTCTTCCAAATTAGGACCCCTTCCCAGAATTAAAGAAGATTTCAAGAAAAATTAGTAATTGTAGTGAAGTGAGTTAGGAAGGCCGTACTCGTTTGCCAAATATCCTATCGCTTCTCTTACTTCCTTTTTGAAGGATCCATTCATTCTCTCTATATAATCTTCCCCAAAATTAAGGATGAAGAACTTCAAAAACTTTCTGGACAGCTCGTGATTGATAAAAGCTTCAATATTCTCTCTGGAGTCGTCCTCAAAAACTTTAGTGAAGGTTTTCGTAAACTCTTCACTTTCACTATTTTTGGATTTTCTGAGCTTCGTAAGTACTGAATAAAAGTATTGGAAAACTTCCTTGGCGTCATAGCCACTGCATCTCATCCCAAGCTCTCCTAAAATGGAGTCTATGATGACCTCCTGGTTGCCATCATTACGTTTGTCTCATCTATGGAACCTTAGTCTAAACATCAGCCTGTAAAACTTTTGAATATCTTTTAATAATTGAGTCCATACATATTTAGAACCCTTATTCATGATTCCCAGATTTCTTTCCCTATCAGAGAGACACTTGAGATGAGCTTCCCATTGAGGTTTAACAAAGTCAAGCATAAACTCTTTCACGTTCTTAGCCTCAAGATAGCACTTGCGTTTTCTTCCTTTATGGCTCTTCCGAAACTCGTTTGCAAGATTCTTAAAAGGCACTTCATAATGCGAGTTTTGATCAAGCATCAGTTCCTATAATAAGATAAATAAGACGTGTTCTCGATGCTAGTATTAAATCTGTCAAGCATTTGAAGAAATAGAGGGATCTTGGGTCCACAACTCAGGTCAGAAGAACCTCTCCCAACTAGTTTCTCCCATTAAGAATTACTTACATTATGGTTTACTCTCGTTGTTGGTTCTTTTTGCAGTTTACTGCAATCAGACCTAAAAGAAAATTAGCACTTTAAGGTTATAACCACCCTTTCTAAAACTATCAACTAAAATTTCCCTGTCTGGTGAATCTTTCAAGTTATACGCAATTAGTTGACCCCTTCAGACAATTTATTTTCAGAACAAAATATTCGAAAATTTTCCTAAATATCTTCCGGAACATTGGTAAAGTATAGAAAAACGTATACTATCTTTAATAATTAAGCTATCTTAAGCTATAGAAAAGGTCGCAAACCTATGTGAACCTCCCAGTTGATCGTATAGCCTGATTTTAAATAGTTTAAGGGATCCAGACTTAGGCTGTTTGAGGATCCAGCAAAGTGAAAGGATACAAAGAAGGCTTAGAATGTCCGAAGTTGAAGATGCACTTACGAATTAGTACTATCTTTGTTAAGAACAAGAGGGAGAGGGAAGTCCTTTCTTGTCCTATTTCTTCTCTTCTGCTTGGAAAGATCAGTCTTAGTCTGCTCGTTCAACTCCTGGGTTACAGAATTAAGAGGTAGCATTGGATATGAAGGATAGTAATAGCTCATTGGTTGATCCTATAAGAAGTTATTCTTTTCCATTCCAAAGTTTTGTGTAGCTTAAATCTGAAACTAAGGAGTAGTGTTAAGCGTAAAAAGCTGCTAGAGGATATTATCTTATTTTGTAAAATCTTTACAAAACAGCCATACAAAGACTATAGATATGCTAGAGAGTAAATTTAAGAGAATGTCCACACAACAGCTGATCCATGAGCTAACTAGTTTACTAATTCAAAGTGCTTACATTCTGTACCACTCCTGGATCAATCTGGCCATACTGCAAAGCCTGAAAATTTAAGTGCTGCTTTAGGTCTCATTGACACATATTTTGGTCCAAAGTCACTCCATTCTGAGGAAATTCTTGGTTAGTCTGGACATAAAGATTCATAAAACTCGGGTAAGGAAAAAGTGCAAAAATCATTTATATTAACTTAATATTTTTTAATTAAATCAAATTTTCTCTGACTAAAAGGGGTTTTGGGGTTTTGGGGTTTTGGGGTTTTGGGGTTTTGGGG